TGTGTAGAGTGTGCCTAGAGGGAGGTACAATGTGTGTGTTTGAGACAGAGGCAAGGAGAGTGGGAGCGTAAAATCTACGACAGACTTTTGATCCGATTCTCTTCATGATGCCTGTAAAACCTGAAGACTAACAAACATTCATTCATCAGATCTGAGAGAGTCAGAGTTTAAAGCAGGACTATCCAATTACAAATTCAGTTGGGCTAGATTTTAAAGGTCCAGTGTGAAGGATTTATTGGCATCTAGCGGTGCAGTTGCAGATTGCATCTCCCTCGCTTCATTTTACCCTTCTGTACGCGCAGGAGAAGTGAAGGTGAGCATTAAACAAAAATGGCAGCGATTCCGTCTTGAACAAGTGTTTTACAGAGTCTGTGAATGGCCTTTTCTTTCAGGATACAAGAAGGGAAGCTGCTTTCTTATGGTCCGTAATACGGCCCCGACTGAAAGATGCAATCGAACTCTACACTTTAGCGTCACTCTCCTGCGAGCCCCCAGGAAGAATTACCCAGAAAGTCTGCAAATGAAACACACTGGTTTGGTGTTTTGAGATGGACGTAAAATAAACCTTTGCCAGTGCAGGCAGGATTAAACGGCTTAGACAGCTTTTTTTTGGTCCATTTTACATTTCTTATTTCCATTAGTGCACTTCCCTACTTTTTTCAATAATTGTTCAGCTTGGTTAGAACTCACATGAGGAAATGTTTACTTATTGGTCCAGGATGTTGATGGAGCAGGTCTCTGCTCTTCTTCTCCTCCTAGGGCAACAGCACCCGCTGTGGGTGGGCTGGTCAGGCTGAGCTGGCCAGGTTGATTTGTCTGCACTTCCACGCTTCCTTTTCTGATGACTGTTGGCTATTTCTGTCACAGGTAATACATGTTTTAGCAATAAAGTAGGAGCTAGCTTTTGAATGTGCAGCCGTTGCCATAGTCAAAATCTCCTGAATCCAGTCCATTTGAGCAATTTTGGCTTAGCCCTTAAAAATCAAACCCAATCAGACATAATTTAACAATGTTTCAGCAATAAAAAAAAAAAAAATTTGATCAAAGACAGGCCAATCCTGTGGCGTGCATTTGCTGCGTTCTAAAAGATTTTTCCATCTCGGTGATGAATGCGCAGCACGACAGTGACGCTGTCCGTTCTGAGTGCGCTCACTGCTCGTCTCCATTCAAAATAATGAATTTGTGTACAAAAGATGCAACATCTGAATGGTCCCTAAAACAAAAAGGGAGCTAACTACCGGCTACTGCATCTACATGTGTAGCCGTTGCCATGACAATATACAAGTCAAATGTTCTGTAGACAAATACACACATAGAAACAAATACAAATAGTGCAAACTTGCAAAGGAATAAATAATAATAATAAATAATAGGTGGTCTCATTTTGCACTGAAAGCAAATAAATGTCTCTTTAAGGAGTACATGTAATAAACAACGTGTATCCCTGTTCTGCCTTCTAATCCAGTGCACTCGATATGTCATTGTCATTGTCTGGAATCACGGCTGTCAGATGCTATTGTTCAGAATGAGGATTATGCTCAATCCGTCATGAAGGAGTGTGTGTGTGTGTGTGTGTGTGTGTGTGTGTGTGTGTGTGTGTGTGTGTGTGTGTGTGTGTGTGTGTGTGTGTGTGTGTGTGTGTGTGTGTGTGTGTGTGTGTGTGTGTAAGCACGGGCCAAGGGGCTGTGGGTGTAATCTGGGAGGTCATTCGCTAATGCCACACTGCCTTCTATCTCTCACATGGCATTATGGGACTTCAGTTTCCATCCTCCCTGTGATGACATCACACCTCGTGGGAGGGCAAGCAGCGAGCGAAGGGCCGGAGTGATTTCTGCCAACACTCGATGAAGGAAAGTTCAGTGCAGTCAGATGTGCTCGGCAGTAATGGAACGCCTAATGTGACGGCTCAATTTCAAGTGACAATCTCAAGTGCCTAACAATTGACTTTCTCCTTCCCCTTCACTTTTATGTCCCTTTCTCTGTTCAGCTTCTGGAATAAAAGCACCCATCTGACGTTTCACTATAGAGAGGTCAGAGGGCGTGACCCCAATCAGCTGGAGTACCTTCAAGTGTGTGTGTGTGTGTTTTGAGGGTGAAAGATCAATCCCATTGTTTTTAATGGTAATGCTCATAATGGCAGTCCCTTTCAAAAGGCCCTTTGCTGAGCCGTAGTTACAACACACTTTTCTTTTCGTAGCTGCATTTTATTATGTCCCCAGAGACTCATTTTCTAGAACACAACCTCAGTCTTTTTTAGTTCAGGCAGCGCACCGCAATTACTCTGCATACCTGATTAAATACATTTGTGAAGCTTCAGAAAAAGAATACATGCAGAGTTTAGATTTTAGAGATACACACAGACCAAACTGTCTGACCCAGTAGTTAGATAATACTACTAAATACTAATATTTAGTAGTATTGTGATGCATTAGGAAATAAAAAAATACCCTTCCACAGTAAGGCAGTCCCTCCAGGATATTGTATGCTTTTTTGGGATTGTTACAGCCTAAAATGACTGATTTTACAGTGGCCTTTTCTAAAAAAAAAACGTATCTTTCAGGGAATGAGGCTCAACAATCAACTATCTTCCTCAGCTCTGATTGGTTGTTTTCATTCAGGCCCGGTGGATTCTTGCTAATGCCATTAGAAGCACTAGGAGGAATCAGAGGAACCTGATTGTTTCACAGATTATCTGTCTGTCAGGATATAGTGAAAGATTTAGCAAATATGACTAAAAGTTATTTTTATAAAAGTTTCAGCTTTAATTTCAACTTCCAGGAGGGAGTGGTAACGTCACTAACCTCTTGTCTTGGTAAGAATAATTTTGAAATATTATGATCTTATGTTTGTCTAAACAGTGTAAACTGTTACTGTATCCCACTATAATATATAAAGTCCTTTTATTTACACAGCTTTGTGTATAGGCATCTTGATCATTAATACCATTCCTCCACAGCAACAACAGCTATATCTTTGTCAATTCAGTCTGCCAATTTTAAGTGTAAAATATATTGCATGATCAGTATCAGTATTGCGCTCTCTCTTTTTCTCTCTCAAGCACTTCCCTCCCTCGTGTTTCTCTCTTTTTCCCTGTGACGTCTCCAGCTCTGAAGCAGCACATCCAAGACTTAAAATTTTCCTCCAACAACACTCCTGCCCCAGATCATTTAGCCAGGAAGACCGCCCTCTGTCTCCAACCAAGGAGGGGCAAGACTTGCAAGAAGGGGTTGTAGCCACTGAGTACGGTTGCTAACACGGATCACTGCTTACTACCACTAGGGGTTCTGAAGCTAGTGATCCGGACCAGTTAGTGAGTGGTCTGTGGAGTGGTCTCTGTGGTCCTAATCCACCTTCTCTTTTCTCCGGCTGTGTTGGCAGCACTGTTAGATCAGTGGTCCACTGCTCAGACCTAATCCTCCACACACCTCCTCTGTCTTATCTCCCCTTCTCCCTCCTTTGGCCACATGTTACCCTTTTGTTAGCTGTTAGTGCATTGTTTTTGTTGATGGATTCAAACAAACACCACAAACCATAATATACTGTGTATGAATTATATACTGTTGTCAGCTAGGCCTAGATTGTATTGTTACTGCACTGTAGATAGATAGATAGATAGATAGATAGATAGATAGATAGATAGATAGATAGCCTACTGTATGTGCAGTCCTTGTGGTTGCTAGGTTGCTACCACTAGGGGCGCTGAAGCTTGTGGTCCTCATGCTCCAGACCATTTGTTAAGTGGTCTGAGAGATCCCTCTTACGAAGATATAAGTTTGATATGTCGATACCAGGGGTAGGCAACCTGTGGCTCTTTTCGCCCTCTCCAGTGGCTCCATGTTGCTTTAACAAGAAATGAAATTCAAATTGTAAAATTTTAAAATTCTAAAAAGGAAATTCTCTGAGGAAAATAGGAATTGATATAGGGAGTTGAACCCACGGCCGCTGCAGTAGGGACTCTGCCTTGGTACATGGGGCACCAGCTCTACCAGGTGCGTAAATGCCTGATTGTTTAAAGGCACACCTCAAGACAATAAAGCACAGTGACTGTAATGAAGCATGTGAAAGGTGTAGTTCGCTCCTTTTCTGTCTGTCCTAGTATCCTGGTGTACGCTGAGTAAGGTATTTGTTGTTTGGTTTACTTAGATTCAAACTAAAGTGCAACAGTGAGAATACAGGCATTATCAACAGGCTAAACATGATGTTCTCTGATATGTATTTGCTAACACTGCAGATAAAGGGAAAGGTGGATTAGGACCACAGAGACCAGTCCACAGACCATTCACTGACGGGTCTGGACCAGTAGCTCCAGCGCCCCTAGTGTTAGAAACCAGTGCTCAGTGGATAGAGCAGTGAATTGGCTGCAACCCCTGCTGAACGGTGGAGAGGCACTTATCACCTATCTCTTTAAACAACTGCCCCGGAGTTAGCTAAAAACCGGAAATAACAACTTCAAAATAAAAAACTCAATAAATAAAAAAATACAACTTGTTTGGTATTCGCGTTTTATTTGGCTGGCAAATATTGATGTGAAATATGAATGCATCATTGGGATTCTACATTTTCAAGCTATCTGTTTTACCATTGAGGTTCCTTTTCCTGACCTGATAAAAATCTCAAATTACTGTATAATTTTTACATAAAGAAAAATGATATATATTACAGTGTGATATGCGACAGTTAATTCAAAATGATCTAAACTCTGTGAAACATAGAGAAGTAATAATTCATTTAGATTTTTGTAATTGTTTTATTAATAGTGCTGTTTTTATGGACCCAAAAGGTGCATGGTGTCACTGCCTACCAAGAATAAATATATAATTATATTAAGTGCAGCTTAAATATCCAGCCATTACCGTAATACCATTTATTTGTTTTATGATGTAAAGACAGTTGAGTATAATTTTTACCAAGCTACCCAAAATTTCACAAACGTTTGCGCGATAAGAGTTTTATTTTGACATTTGATACCGGAAGTTTGAGCATTTACACTCTGGCTGACTTTACTAACCCACCGACAACCCAGTCATATCTTCTCCCGTCGAGTAACTTCAGTGCCCACACTGCACATCTCTCTGTCTCTCCCTCCTCGCTTCAGTTTCTCGTACCTTTGCACCACCACCGGGGGTTCCGCCGGAACGCTCGCCGAAGGAAGAGCGCCATGGCCCGCGTGGTGGTTGAAGGGATGCCGGAGACGGCCGCCGGAGGAGGTGTGATGCTGAACCGACGGAGGAGCAAAGCCAGGCGGAGAAAGCGAAAGGAGTTGTTCGCCTTCCAGATGTGCTTCGCGGGGGTACTGCTGGGTCTCGTCGTAGGGCTCCAGTCCGTGGCACAGAAAGCAGGTGAGGGGCAGTTTACACGTCTTTCACTGTCAACCGACATGTTTGACATGTTTGACATGTTTCTGTTGGGAAGAAAGCGGCGGAGTTTGTGGCGAACAGGAACAACAAGCAGTTTGGAGGCAAAAGGCGGTTAGAGAAACATACAGTTTTTCTTTCTGCGTTCTGTTACATTTAAAACAACAAAATAAGCTTTTACAGCTCTACTGGGATGGCTGTTAGGGAGAATATACAGAAAAAGTGTAAGTAATGTATAACATGAGAAATAATATAGTCAAACATGGGATTTACAATATTAGGTGATGGTCAGTATTGATTAATGAACAATAAAGACACTAAATATTACAGCTCTGATTCTGTACTCATCACTGAACAGGCTGCCATATAATACAGTATAGATCCCATTGGGATTAGTGCAGCTGAATTAGATTGAATTTGGGTGCAGCTTTCTGTGTATAGTCAGTGCACACATTTACAGTCACTGTAAAGAACAAAACAACAACATGCCTTCTTGGAGCTCAACATCTGTAACTAATAATCCCCTGGAAATGGTAGCGCTGCTATGCTGCTCTGTGCTTGTATCACTTAACAGAAATCTACTTTTTCTAGCATTTCCTGTTAGCTCCAACAGGACAACCAATAAGCTGGATATGAGGTGGGATTATTTGTAAGCAACAGGCAGTTGACATCGACTCAATGACATGTTTAAAGACCCCTTCCAGATATGTATTAAGACATAGGAATAGTCTGTCAGGAACAATAATGGGAAAAGTCTAATTTCCACATTAAAACCCTTAAAAAGTCATCTCCTCCTTCTACCTCATTAAATCTTCCAGAGTCTCTGAATATGCAAATGTTGTTCATTTCTAAAGTTTTCCTGCTGGACACAAGATGTCTCCTCCTTCACTGTAAAGTCCATTCAACTATTTGTGATGTCACAAATCCTGCTGGTAAGCCCCGCCCCTTAAAAATCAGATGTTCAATGATCACAGAGAAACTTTCCACTTTCAGCAGATGAATGGGAAAACATCCTTCTAGTGTCAAACTCTGCACAGACATCATTCAAACAGCACACTGTCGACACAGGAACAAACACTGATTTCTGACTGGAGGGGGGCTTTAAAGCCGGCATACTTTAACTGGAAATATAATTTAAATGGTGCCCTCGGAAGCCTGTCGCTGCTAGGGATATTCATATTGACTGATCATCCAGTGGTAATCAATGTGCTGTGTGGTGTCATTTGTGACATTTCAGGAGTGTAGTGTGTACACAAGCTCGATTCACACTTTTGAACAGCTTTATATCATTACCAGCTCTGAGCTCAGCCAATGTTTTGGTGTTTTTTGCCAAGTAGGTCTTGTTAATGGTCAAGTCAGCAGCCCAGTTAATGTTACTCTATCCACTCTATCCCAAAACCAGACAGCCCAGTGATACATCATCAGGATGTAAGCAGAACTACTGTTGCAGTTGTATAGAAACATGTTTTGTTCACATTTCCTGACTCTTTTTTTGTTTTGTTGTCTCTGATTAGAGTGATGCAGTATGATTTGTTTTTAGTGCTAATTGTTGACCAACCTGGCAACTGATCGATGCACTGATTTGTTTCTGATAGTGAAAGCCTCTGTTTTGGGGGTCACAGAGAAGATGGGACTGTGAATTGATTACATATGTCTCCAAAATGTAACTGGGAAAGCAAGAAATGATCATCAGTGGCACATTTAATAATGAGTGGTTTTAATTGGGATGATATTCCATTTTCACAACAGCTGCACTGTTTGCCATGATCTCTTATCGTTTTATCAGGAAAAAAAGAAGCATACAGACCAGACAACTACCATGAAGTGAAAGAAATATGCAGTACTGAAACTATTACTGGATTAAGTTGATTCTGCAACAGATTTGATCATTTCAGTTTGTGCTTGAGTTTTATTTATTTGCACTAGTTAAAATTAACCCAATAACATAATATAACTGAAATGAATGTGCAAGGAGAGGAAATCTGCCTGGATATCAGACATTTTATGCCACAGGAATCCCACAAAAAGCCTGCGGAATCCTGGAGGAACTGATGGAGGCACCAGAATTAAATTGAGACTGTTTCATAACCAGTTAAAAACTCCTTTTAGTACATTTAATGATCTCATCAATAATGAAAATAATATAAATGAATCAGAAAATGCAGTAAAACCTGATTCAATATGGACAGTGAGGTGATAACAGGACGAACTCCACTGCATCCCTGTTGACCTAATGTCATTCTGTAGATTTGGTCCTTCCAACTTGATGATGAAGAGGAAATGCTGATACTCTTCTTTCTTCTATGTCATCATTACTCGATCTGTAATTCTGTTCTGTCCGTGTGAGGATTTGCTGCTGTTCACTGTTTAACATGGTTGTTGGACTCTTGTTGGGCTGTTATAAGGCGTCACCTTATAACTAACTGAATAATTAGAAAGGAGTCAGAGTAAATAGAAGTAGATAAAACCACTGGTTTTATATCCTAACTGTATGAAAATGATAAAAGAAATGGTCATAATTCCATGTGTTACTGTAACGTTTATTTCATTAATCAATTACTTGTAAACAGTTAAATTAATCAGCATTTATTTGAACTATTTCAGTTAGTCGTTTTGAGTCTTTAGAAAAAGAATTCTCTGATCTCAGCTTCTCCAATGTGAATATTTTCTGGTTTCTTTAGTGTTTCTCTATGACAGTAAACTGAATATCTTCTTCTATCTAGCTTGTGGACAAAACAAGACACTTAAAGTCGTCGCCAGGGAAACACTGATCAACATTTTCCACTATTTTCTGACATGTTATGGAGCACACAACTAATTGATTAATTGAGAAAATGATCTACAGATGAATCAATAATGAAAATATCCGTTACTTGCAGCCAAAGCTGTTTTGTTCACGTTGCTTGTTTTGTTTGACTGACAGTCCAAAACCCAAAGATATTTAAGTTACACTAACTTATTAAACAGCGGAAAGCAGCAAATCCTCACATTGGAGAGGCTGGACACCTCCGCCACCTTAGCCCCCTCATCGACAAATCAATTCAGCACCAAACTACACAATCATTAGACTGTACCCACCTCCCCCCGATAGAGGATTGTGCTCCGAGTTGGATGCTAATTGACAGCGCTTTCACATGGACTCCCATGTGAGACCAGGACCTTCTTTCATGTCAGTGATAGTATCCCTCGGGCCACGCTGAGGCTTTCAAGGTCCGACACGTGGATGTGCACACACCTCTCCTCCCTTGTCCTCCATCTGTCCTCATTTCCACATTATTTTCCATGGCTCTAAGCCCATCCATCCATCCATCCATCCATCCACATCTCACCTCCTAAAAAAAAAAGGTAAAAGCAAGACCCAGGACAACAGCACTATAGGAAGGAGGATTACCCACATGAGCAAACACATGTTGCTGTCATCTGGAGGTTTTAATATCATTGAGCCTTGCTACTCAAGCTAAAGTCCCTCCATCATCCATCTGTGACAAACCTAAAAGATGTGCGTAGCAGCCAGACAAATGGTCATGCTATGGAGGAGCCACTAATGGCTGCTTGGTATATCTGGTATACAGCATTAGTCTCCAGATGATCTCATTACGTAACTTAAAGCTCTCGTCGTTGGTGGGTCCCCTTTCTCTTTGCACGCTAGCAGGGGATGGGAGGGGAGAGCGGAGGAGCACAGACGGCGCACTTTGCGCTGACGAAGCCTCGGGACTCGAAGCCGCATCAGACAAAAAGGAGAAGAGACAAGGAGGAATGGGGGTGGGGGTTTGTGGGGTAGAGTGGGAGCAAGCGAGGACAGCAGTGGCGGTGATGAGGGAGGTGGAGGTGGAGGAGGAGCGGACACATTGAGGTGGATAAAGTGAGGATGGGAACCTGAGGTGGTTATGAGTCAGAGAGTGAGAGGAGAAAGGAGAGAGGTCAGGTTTAAAGGAGCAGGCGATGCGGACTCTGATTTGAAGTCGTTATGTTATCACTCTCTCTTCCCGTTTTTCTCTCTACTCTAAATATCAACTGCGCAAGGCCTTTTCTTAAAAAGTCCAAACTAATAATTCATTTACCTTGAGGCATTGAGCTTGTGTTTTATGGAAAACAACTTCTAATGATGCAGCAGCAGGGAAACGCTTTTTCTTCTTGGATCAACATCAACTAGAAAGAAACTAAAATAAAAGGTTAATTCTGTTTTTATTACAACTGTGGTCTTATTGTTGACATTTTGGACGTCATTGGTTACAGTAACAATAGGGCAGTGTATTGGCAAGATTCTGGCGATACAATACGTGTCATGATACAGGGCTTACGATTCAATATATTGTGATACTGTAAGCAAGGTGATAAACTGGGATTTAAAAAAAATTTCATTTTAGGAAAACTGTATATAGAACACACCACCATATGTATAAAATTAGAATTTTACGTGTGATCTGGAACATCATCGACCTCTGTTAATGTTCGGAACTACTATCTAGCGATTGGGGGTTTAAACACAAAAATCGTAATATCACAAACAAAATATCACCATATGATATCTTAGTACACAGCTAGATAACGGCGACAAATACAAATGCAGAGCCCACTGTCCTGATTGCATAACAACGTTTTTTACATTAATTTTATGCATATGATGATGTTTTCTACATACTATGATTTTCTTTAAATAAGACAAAAATTGTGGTGTATTGCCTTGCTTACAGAATCGCAACATATCGTAATATACTGAATCATAACCTGTATTGTGATACGTATCATATTGCCAGATTCTTCCTCTTAAATAATGTTAAAACACAAATAAAGTTGTAGCTTAGGTTATGAATTTATACGACAGGCAGTGGGTGATTCTGTTGCTCTGAACTAAGTGATCGACTGATGTGTTTTTTTCAGGGCCAAAACAGATACTGATACTGATTGTGTCAAAATTCACACGGTGTTCCCACTCTTTTTAAGAAATTATTTTCCAGGAACTTTTCAGGACATTTTCCATGAGT